GCAGGAATGACCTTTGGGAGTTAATATGTTCAGAGGGAAAACCTGCTTAAATTACTTCAATGAAAGTGTTCATGGTATTTTTCCACCTCTGTTTTACTTAGTCATCAAGATGAAATAGCAGCCTAGTCCAGTTCACAAATACCTGAAAAGCCCAGCAGGCCTGCCAGCGCGTCCAAAGAAATTGAGGATTGTGCAGACAATGTTAGATGAGGCCTTTAACAACGCCTTTCATTTTAAATATTACATTTCTTAAAATTAATTTTAACATGTAGAAAAATTTGATTGATTGTCCTGCAGTTGTAGCTCTTGAAGGAAAGACTTGTGATTTTTTTTTTCCTTTTTTTCTTTCCCCTGATGATTCAACGCATTCCAAGCTGTGATGGCTTATCAGTAACTAAGTCTTGCTGTGTCAGTATTTTTCTAGCCTTTTGAGACCAAGGGAGGAATTGTGTTTGCTGTGCAGTTACCTTATTTGAGCATCTCCTGTTGCTGATTTAGGGCAGTACCTCACTTTTCTGACAGCTGAAGTATTTAAGATATGAGCCAATCATGGGAAGGTGTATTTTAATAACGTATTTTTCTTTTCTATTCAGCTCATCACCAGAGCGGACATAACAGTGGTGTGATTCACAGTGGAATTTACTACACCCCAGGATCTCTGAAAGCAAAGCTGTGTGTGCAGGGTGCAGCCCTCTGCTACAAATACTGTGACCAGAAGGGGATACCATATAAACAGTGCGGGAAGGTACAGGAGCTGCTCTCTGTTCTTGCTTTACCTTTGGAAGCAGAGACTGTGTGATGTATGATACAATGTATAGCATAAACATCTCTGACAGCACAAGTCTTTCTATTCACAGTGCAGTGCACACTGTATCTGGTGTGAGAAGCACCATTTCAAGCCACCTAACTCAGCACGCACTGGGTGCAGGGCTCTCCCAGCTCAAGGGTGCAGAGCAGAGGTCCCTGGATGCGGCTGCATTGATGAGCCTTGCTGGAGGGTGGTTGGAGTTTGTCCTGGCCTGGCTGTGCTCGCTGCTGTGTTCATGCTGTGCTCCCTCCGCTGCGGCGCTGCTCGCAAGATGGCACTGTGGATTTGTGCAACGAAACTCCTGGAGTTACAGCCCGCTCTCAACTCGCAGCACCCAGCCAGCAGCCTGGCTCTGCAGGAGGCAGTTTGAGCTCGGGCAGGGCTGGCACTGTGGGCCTTTGCTGACACCGTGTCTGTGTACTTCCACATCACCTTCCCGAGCAGGGTTTATTCCAGGGAAGATGATTTAGGCACTACAGCAAGTTTTGCATAAAGCAGCCCCAGACTTGGAGAACTTAATGGCTTCTCAGAGCAAAGATGCCTGTGTGGTCAGACCAGAGCTGGACCTGGAAGCAGCACGGTCTGCGCAAACCTGGCACAGATAGCTCATAGCCTGGGTAAATCACCTGTGACAGTTGTGAGCTAACTATCTGGTTAAATTCAGTTTAGACACCATGTCGGAACTCATCCTTACTGTCTTATCAAGACTGTTTGATATTCGTGCATCTTGTGTTTAGTTCAGTTTTACTTTTGGAAGCATCCCAGTGCCTCTTTAAAATCGTATTTTCTTCTTTCACGTTCAGATTTGTAGCCTCATAGTACTTTTAGTAAATATTACCCATTGATAGTAACTTAAACTGCAGCTTAACATTTGTTTTTCGATCTCTGTAATACATTAGGCCTTTCTCAGCAATGGTATGCATAGAATCTTGTGCCACTAATGGCATGAACCACGTTTTCCCCCCCTTGATTTATAATTCATTATTCTTTCATTCTCTATTGCTTGTTAGCTTGGGCTTGATGCCAAACCTGAACTGGCTTTGTATATTTTGCTCACTGCTGTGCCTTGTAACCTTTCTTCTGAAGCTAATTGTAGCTGTTGAACAAGATGAAATTCCAAGACTGAAAGCTCTGTATGAACGAGGGCTGCAGAACAACGTCCCAGGTCTGAAACTGATTGGAGCAAAAGAAATACAAGCAAAAGAGCCCTTCTGCAGGGTAAGGCATTAGCTTATTTTTATTTGTCACGTAAGACCTCACTTTCTCAGGTGATGTTATTTTTTGATTTAACATAAATGTGTTTCTGGCCTTGTTTTACATGGGTGATGAGTTCAAAAGAGCCTGAAAAGCCAGAAGAAATAAAATTGTCAACAAAAATAAATGTAACCATTTATTTTGAAACTTTTTAGCCCAGCCCAATCCTTGGTGTGCATTCGCCATGATGCACACATCTAACACAGCATAAGGTGATCCTGCAGAATCTGCCTTGGTGACGCTTTCACCGCAGGTTTCTCCTGCTCGCCCGTTCTTGCTCTCTTGCCGTTAGTTCATAGTTCATCAGGTCTCTGTGTGCTGAAGCCATAAAGAGCTGCTGCTGCACTGATTGCAAATGCTGAGATGATTCGGCTCCTTCCCACTAAAATAATTTGACTTGCACTGAAGCTCAGTAGTGCAGCAATGAAAATTCCTTTCTATCTGCAAGTGCGGATTTGGATCGAGCCGATTTCGCCACAGTTGATTCCTACACATGACTGTTACGTAGTACTTCTCAGCCTCTTTATTTTGACAACAGGAGAAAAGTGAGTAGTTTATGGAAAACAGAATTGTTGTTGTTTAACATATACTTGAGAGGAAAATCTGGTTATCAATTCCTCATCCTGTTTCATCTGGCAGCTTGCTATCGGTGTAGCTGCATGACTGATTGCTTAGGAGGGGTTGTAGGTACAGACACACATTTTCTGGACAGGAATATTTTAACCTTTTTTTTTTGTGTGTGCATTTTGTAGCCATTTCTTAAAACATTCTTTGTGTGCTCAAGATCCAGCTGAGCATTTACTTCTGCCAGTGAGCAGATTCGGATGGGTCTTCCTTAATTTGCTTTGGTTTCCTGAGCTGAGCCCTTTCCTCAGACACAAGGTGAACCTGAATGGTGTTATCAAACATCGCACTGTGTATCAAGAAGGGAGGAAGATTTTGTGTAAGGTTCCATTTTACCAACTGTTCTGCTTGGCTTGGGCATGTCAGTTGCCCTTGTTACTGTAGGATGTGTCAGTGCAGTTACGCTTTCAGCATCTCTCTGAGATAAAGCAGTGCGCTATTATCGTTATTTTATAGCCAGAACTAGGAAAATATTGTGATGCCATCTAGCATGATAAAAATTATGTGAGAAACAGCCTTTTTAGTGTAAAGATAGTAAAACGTCTCTGAGAAACATGAAAAATTATAGCTACACACTGAACGCTTAACCCACCCTAGGTACTTTTCACCTGCAAACACAACCACTGGCGTTGGCACACGGAGAGAGCAGGATTGAGCGGCCAGGGCTGAGGAGGCAGCAGTGCTCCCTTCTCAACGTCCGTGCACATTGCTCCAGATGCAGTGTTCTCTGTATTGAAGACCAAAGTCCATGTACAGCCTTCCCTGTTCTTCTGTATCTTCATACTGTTTCAGGGTCTGATGGCCCTTGATTCTCCGTACACCGGCATTGTGAATTATAAACAAGTGGCCCAGTCCTATGCTGAAGACTTCCAGGAAGCCGGTGGGACAATCCTGACTGATTTTGAAGTTACAAACATGGAGATGGCTAAAGAAAGTTCTTCAGAAAGTGAAGATGGTAAGGCGGTTTTTTACCCTCCATATACTACAGTCCTGAAGAATTTGTTCAAAACACGTTTGCTTTCACTGAAATCACATTTCTGAATCTTTCTGTCACATAGGGATGAACGAAAGGCAAAATTATGTTTTTCAAAGTATCGAGCAAGCTCACTTTTGTTGTTTTCCCCCAGGCAGGTCACCCTTCAGCTGAAACATTTAAACCTGATGGAAGAAAATGATAGTAGAATTGAGGAAGAAGGTTGTTCTCTCCTATTAAAATCATATTTAGCTGAATATTGCATGTGTAGTGCAATTCACAGAATCACAGAATCTCAGGAGTTGGAAGGGACCTCGAAAGCTCATCCAGTCCATCCCCTGCCAGAGCAGGATCACCCAGACCAGGTCACACAGGAACGCGTCCAGGTTGGCCTTGAATGTGTCCAGAGGAGACTCCACAACCTCTCTGGGCAGCCTGGGCCATGCTCTGTAACCCTCACAGTAAAAAAGTTTTTCCTCATGTTCACATGGAACCTCCTATGCTCCAGCTTGCACCCATTGCCCCTTGTCCTGGCATTGGACATCAGAGAGAAGAGCCTGGCTCCTTCCTCCTGACACTCACCCTTTACAGATTTATAAACATTAATGAAGTCTCCCCTCAGTCTCCTCTGCTCCGAGCTAAAGAGACCCAGCTCCCTCAGCCGCTCCTCATAAGGGAGATGCTCTACTCCCTCCATCATCTTTGTGGCCCTGCACTGAACTCTCTCCAGCAGTTCCTGTCCTTCTTGAACTGAGGGGCCCAGAACTGAACACAATATTCCAGATGCAGTCTCACCAGGGCAGAGTAGAGGGGAAGGAGAACCTCTCTCGACCCACTAGTCACACCCCAATTGTAGTAGTGCTTTTTGTTTATCCTGGAAGGCAGGTAGGGTCTGTGCTGGTATACATGTGGAAGAATAATTAAAAAAACCCTATTAATTAATAAATACACTTATGTCCAACAACATCAGTTATGACCATCAGTAGTTGCTCCATAGCTTGAAGATCTTTCAGTGGAAACACCTTTCATCATGACCAGCTGCTTGTTCTCTCCGTTTTCTGTTATGTATTCCATTAATTCCTTCTCTTGTCTAATTCTGTTACAGGACTGAAATACCCAGTCATTGTTAGGAACTCAAAGGTAAGAACAGAGTTGAAGATTTAATTGCTTCATAGGAAGCGATTTCTCCTTTTCATAAGAATTTTTGTTGAGTCCTGGTGAATCAGTCAGATCTATAAAAAGTTTAAAAGCTGCTGCTCAGTAACACAATCACTGTCATCTAGGACTGCTTCTATAAAACAACTGAAATTGATTCTTAACAATGAGCATGTTCAGACTTTGCTGTGTACTGGGAATAATAATGAAAGTATAATTTTCTCTTTCTGCTGTCTGACTTATGTATAACTGTGTATGGCCGTTATCTTCTTCATTTGCACATTCTTATGTTTGTTGTTTCCAAGGACTCTTTTAATGACTTAACTCATTTGATGAGTAACACCACTTTTCATGTCTGCTTTTGGTCTCTGGCATCTATAAAATCATAAGGAAATAAAGGAGAATATTAGAAAGAATTAAGCGAAACAAGTATAGAATCACAGCATGGTTTGAGTTGGAAGGGACCTTAAAAATCATCAGTTTCAACTCCCTGCCATGGGCAGGGTCACCTCCACCAGCCCAGGCTGCTCCAGGCCCCGTCCAACCTGGCCTTGGGCACTGCCAGGGAGGGGGCACCCACAGCTTCTCTGGGCAACCTGGGCCAGGGCCTCACCACCACCAGAGAAGAATTTCTTCTTTATATCTCATCTAAATCTCCCCTCTTCCAGTTTAAAACCATTTCCCCTCATCCTATCACTACACTCCCTGATGAAGAGTTCATCTCCATCTTCCTTCTAGGACCCCTTTAAGTACTGGAAGGCTGTTTAAATGTTTTTTGCCTCCTTTTGAAAATATGGTTGGTTTTCTTTCTGTGGTTGGTTTTGACTCATTTTTTCCCAAGGGTTGTATGTAATGGTTTTTTAGTAGATAGATTGAATTTTTGTGTGGTTTGGTTTTGTTTTGTTTCCCACAGGGTGAGGAAATCTCCTGTCGGCACCTTGTGACCTGTGCAGGACTGTACTCAGATCGCCTGTCTGAGATCAGTGGCTGCAGCCCTGAACCTCGTATCGTTCCCTTCCGTGGAGATTATTTGGTGCTAAAACCAGAAAAGTGCTATATGGTTAAAGGAAACATTTATCCGGTATGTACTCTCTTGTTTGTCTTTCACAGCATACTCTAAGAACTGCTAAAACTACAGAAATAAGGGCAGTATGACCTGGTTATTTCTGTTAGACTGCAGGTAGCAATGCACAGCATGTGGACATCAATTCAGTGGCTTTCTGACAGGACAGCTTGTGTTTGTAAATTTTTGAGGAACAGGTGGAAGTACCATGTGGGAAATTATTGCCAGTTGGGGTTTTACATGCCCACAAAAGCCTGGCTTCTTTCTTTATGTTCTAAAATAAATCTGTAGGCAGGATTCAGAAGTCAATGAGAGACACCAGTAAATAATGAATTACTTATCTAGATGCAGGGTTTAATCTTGTGTGCTAATAGCCAAAGCTCAGATATAGATATTTGCCTCTCAGCCTCATCTTTGAATTTGCTTTACTTTGTATGGCAATAAATAGACACGAGAGGAGAAGGACAAACCATCGATTATAGGCAAATAAAGTGATGAAGAGGAGCAATTCTAGACAGGAAATGAAGATAGTGAGAAAGAAGAGAGATTTCCTAGGGCAGCATTTTAGTTAATCCATGCAGTATGTTGAAATACCACCTTTTTAAATACAAACTGATACAATACTGATACAATACAATACTGATACTGATACAATACAATACTGCCTGCTACACCATGGAGCGTGGAACCCTGGGCACTGGGTGCTTGTCTGACCTCTTCCCAGCTGGGAATGATTTGGGATCCTGTCCTGGGATGGGAGGACACCTTCCAGCCTTGTTTCTCATGGCTTTGTCAAGATAGTTGGTACAATTTTTTTGGTAATGATCACATTTGATAAGATTGAAAAATGGCATGACTCTTAGTGATACATTCCCAGAAATGTAAGCGTCGTTTGTGGAGTGGTTGCACTAAGCTTTGTAAGTATTAAAAGCATAATTTTAACCAGCAAATAAGTGTGCTTAATTCCAAAAAGGAACGTATCTTGAAGCAACTTTTAGTCATAATACTGGTTTTTGATGAATACCCAATACTTACTTTCAGGCTATAACAGTCACCTCTGTAGTCACCTTTTCTAAATAGCTGAAGGTCTTGAAGTGCAGGTGCTTATTTAATACTTACATCTGCATATAGACAGCTTATTTCTGTTTCAGCCTTCGCACACAATTATGCTGTGTTCCATTCACAAACAAAAAAGAAACTGCAAATACTTATTATTAGCATTAATCAGGCTTGCTAACTGCATGTTTTGACCAATAGAGGAATGGTGAGGTTTTCCTCATGTTTTATAACCTATTTTATTGCAGTGTAATTACTACTGGTGAATTCCATTAGGGTGTCATAGGTGTTGTGGGTTGATTTATACCCTGAGAAATCATGGGTTCTTTTTTTCCCTGTTGTTTGTTTTGCTTTTACTGAAGATGCAGCCTTACTCAGCCCTGCTCTGTTCCTCAGTGTTTTAAATCAGTTACGTGCTACAACTGCTCAATTAAGAAGCAGAAAAACCAGCGCAGGAACAAATTGCATGGTTATGTAACTTGAATTTCCTTGTAGTGATTGGAAATAAAGGGGCAAATTTACTTCCTTTTTCAGTTGTTCATATCAAGATGGTTATTTCCATTTATTGGGAGGACAACTCCTTTACTGTGTTTTGGGTTGTCTTATTCACACTCTCAGATGATCACAGAATCACAGAACATTAGGGATTGGAAGGGACCTCAAAAGATCATCCAGTCCAATCCACCAGATGATAAACTGATAATGTCTCAACTTTCCTTCTCACGGATGTTTTCCATGTTTCCTGGATGAGTTTGTTGCCTCAAGTGGTTGCGTGGCTGTTTCTCTGGTTTGTAACAGCTGTAATTCTGTTGTATCCCACTTCAGGTTCCCAACCCTCGGTTCCCTTTCCTGGGATTTCATTTCACGCCGAGAATGGATGGCAGTGTTTGGCTTGGTCCCAACGCAGTCCTTGCCTTTAAGCGAGAGGGCTACAAATTGTTTGACTTCAGCACTGGAGACTTTTTAGATGCTGTAACATACAGGTGTGCCTTTTTGTCTTTGAATGTCAGCTTGTGGACTCCGTGGATGCTAGTTCTTGTCCAAAAGTCTGCTTTTGGCAGGTTTTTGGTGTGTTCAGAGGCAGTTGTGCTGATGAGGGTGGACTTCTCCAAGACATCTGACTTCATGTGATCTAATATTTGAATTTTCATAAACTACCAAGGCATGTCTCAGCTGGTCTGAGAATGTGGCTGCTCATCAGAAGGTACTGGTGAGCCATGTTGCTACTGGTGGAGCTCTTCCAGAGTAATATTTTAATTAACTTAGTGTGATTAAAATACCTGCAGAGGATGTTTAGAAGAGAAAAGAGTCTGAATTGCCATGTTAAACTTCGTCAGGCCATCAATATACATTTAAAAAATGCCCAAGTGTTAGGAAATACGTTAAGGGCCACGAATGCAGGTCAGGAAGCTGCCTTAGAAAGCGTGTCAGAGGAATTAGGAATCATTGCTAAAATTGCAAATGTACACAAACAAAGGATCTGTAGAAGTTGGGAGAAATCTTGCTTCTGTGTGAGGGGCTGGACAGACCATTACCAATTCAATTTTAGAAATTAGACTTGGAAGAGAATGTGAAAATATCGAGGAGGATCCCAGGAGAGGCTGAAAAACAGGTCAGGGAGCTGGGAAACAGCTTTCTGGCAAGCAGCTCAACTTAATGCAGTTTATTAAAGTAAAGAGTAGAGAGCATCTCAGTTCTTGTCTATAAATTTTTATACTGGAAGACTTGAGGTAAAGCAAAACAAGCAAACAAGAATTGCAAAGATATTTCTCAAGTAGAGAGCATAGATTAGATCACTGGTGGTGGGAATGGGAACTTCTGTCGTGCAGTTGCATTTGCTGCCTTCTTAGCAGCAGTTTGATGCGGCTGCGTTTATCATGCAAGATTTGTTCTTGCTGCGGTTGTTTTTTCTCTCTGCAGTGGGTTATGGAAGCTCGTGCTGAGAAACCTGTCGTACGGACTGAGCGAGATGTACAGAGCGTGTTTCCTTGGTGCGCAGGTGAAGCAGCTTCAGAAATTCATCCCTGAGGTCACTGTCAATGATGTGCTCAGGTAAAGAAAATTTTCCTGTTAGTAACTCCCAGTGGCTTCTTAAATCTCTTCTTTTTACAGCAAATGTAGCATTAGCTTACTCCCTTCTTCCACCAAAACATGCTACCAAAGCATAGTAGCATTTAGATACATTTACAGGAAAACTTTTACATTGTGTTTGCTTGTGTATAGGCAAGTTTGATGAATATTTGTGTGGCTTTCTACACTCTCCATAGGCTGAAATTCACAGCTGTGACATATTCACAAAAAAAGAAAAAGTCTCTTTATCCTAGCGACGTATTGGGTAGCTTGAACATAATCTGAGTTCACAAAGAAAGCAAAACACTAACGAAATTCAGAGGGCAAGCCAGACTGCGAGTTGCTACTGAGTGAATATTGACTTAGTTTAATCATCTCAATAAAATTGTATTCAGCTTCCACACCGAGAGAAATTAATTAAAAGGAGTTTGGAAATGCTGAGGAACTGGAGAGACTTGTGAGGAAAAATGAGGCATTTGGGGACGTGGAGGTGGGTTTAACTGTCCACACATTTGCAGGGAGAAAATGCAGAATAAGAAAAGCTTGAGCATGGTAACAGGGAGTTATCCAGCTCAGGCAGCATAGCATTGGCATGAAATTCATGTTTGACAAGGCTTGTTATTTCAGAACAAAAGGTTTCCTTTTTGAAAAGACAGGACATGTTTGTGTGTGTAAGGAGGCGAGTAACTTCACAACCAGGAAACATACAGAAGATCCTCTGCTTGGCTACTTGCCCTTGTTTTACGGGAACTCCTGTGAGGCATCTTCCACTTTGCCCCACAAATGTTAAACTTCCTTGTGCTCCCCAAAAACCCTGACTGGGCTCTGACTCCACAGTTCACCTTCCTTACTGATTCCCAGGGTACTTTCATGAGGCCAGAACAGAACTGATATAAGAAAATGTCTTTTTTTCTAATGGTGAGCTCCTCCTTTATTTTGCAGGGGTCCATCTGGAGTGAGAGCTCAAGCACTGGACAGTGATGGAAATTTGGTAGATGACTTTGTATTTGATGGAGGCACTGGAGATATCGGAAGCAGAATTCTTCATGTCAGAAACGCCCCTTCTCCTGCTGCTACCTCCTCCCTTGCCATCGCAGAAATGATTGCAGATGAAGTGAAGCGAAGATTTGAACTGTGAATAATTGACAGGTGTAGTGCGGTTTTACCCCTCTTGTATGTGTAGCAGCTTGTCTGCACTGGATGAACTCTGCAGTCTGTCAGTTCTGACACAGGTGAAACAGGCAACGCGTTGTGTGCAAGATCAGCGTTGCTGTACCTGTGCAGCATCTTAAATGTTTCCTTTGCCAGCCCACAACTTCTCAGCTTGATGAATAAAGGGGTTATGGCGCCTGGTGAGACTTGGCGCAGTGTCGCAAGAAAGAAGCAGACAGCCCTGTTCGCAGTGAAGGTTCGTTCACCTGAGCAGGAACAGCCCGTGGAGGGGCTGGCACAATGTGAAGGTCCCCCAGGGCCCTGGTGGGCTCTGAGGTGGAGCAGGAAGGGCCTCTGTGGTGGGGTTGTCCTCCCATGCCTCTGCTCTGAACGTTGTCTCCTCCTTGCACTCTGCAGAGGTGGTGGTTCCTCTACAAAACCACAGTGCGGGGTGCTTCTCTGGGTGCTTTGATTCTGTTTGAATTGCTTTGGAGTCTACACTCGTCTAGCTTACATGAAAATAATGGGGATAGAAGGATAAGCCGTGCTTAAGGGTTCTGCTGATGCGGAATTAAGGGCTTTATCAGAGATTGAGAACAATATTCAGAGCCTTCTATATGAATGCAGAGTATTTCAGAGAAAAATAAGCCTAACAAGGGATTACCAAATCCAAGTACAATTTAGATGTGCAGTTCAGATATGCTATCTGATTGCTGCCTCTATTTTTTTTCAATAGAGCTGAAATTAAAATGTATACATAAACAGTTATTTTTCGTTTAACTTAAATCTGGAAAGTCAGTACTGATCAGAAACTGCTTCAGAGCTTTTGGGGGTTTGAGGTTTTTTCCCTTTGACTACTGGTAGTGCAAAAGGAGCTTATCTTTGTACGGCGTGTTGAGCAATCCAGTGGAAATGGGCTTTGTCAAAGCAAATGCGGAGGGAGGGAAGCTACAGAAACCTGTCTTGAAATTGAGTCATGCTGCATACTGCTTCCCTTGGAGCCCAAACAGTGAGTCAGGACGGCTTCCCATTTCCCACATGGTTGGCGAGAGGGGACCTTAGACAGTGCTGGTTCCTCTGCTGAACTTCTCCTGGTATTTGAAGTTTTATCAAAGGTGCACCTGAAAGGGAGTCTGTGTGGAGAAAGCGCTTTAAACTCTAGAGAGATGTTTAACAAGTCTGGTACTCGGTGAACTGAGTAGCTTGGTGTGTTCTGCTTAATTGCTACAAAAAAGAATTATGTGGCCCCGGGGACAAAGTACTTAAGAATACTTTTAAAGCAGATGTTCACAGGATGTTGGGTAATACAGATAATTGTGGGTAGTTTGCTACCAGGCAATTTGCCATACTGGTTTTTTTTTTTACTACTTTCTGTACTCCTCTGAGGGAGTGTGTTAGCAGAGGGGGTCAGGTGTGCCAGCTGATGGCTTTACTGTACAGCCCTTTCTGACAAAGGAAGGGTTTAACCTGTCTTTATTTTTGTCTTCTTTGGTGAGGTCTACTTTACCAGAAAAGTGACTCCCATAGAAGGGCAACCTGAAAATTCAAATAATTAGCCCTTCAAAGAACAGCTTTGGTCATTATTCTTAGCCACAACAACACTAGACAGAGATTCAGATACTGCACATGCCAGAATGCCATGCTCTGTAAAAGTCCTGTCTTCACAATAGAACAATCGTATCTTTGCTCCCTGCCAGAAGTGTTGCCTATCAACAGTAAATACTACAAAAGGATTGCAAAAGCCACTTCCTCCCACACGAGGTGTGGCCCTAACATGTATTAACAGAATTAAGAACATTAAAATGTAAAGCAGTCATAGACTATGGTGAATCTCAAGTCAGCACATTTAACTGTGCAGCCTGCTGTGATTTTACTCTCAGGATGTGATTATTTTGAGGTAGAATTTAAGTGAAACTTTAAAATTATGAATCTGTAGCATTCTGTGAAATATTTATAATTTTGGATATAGTTATAAACCTTTTTCAAAGTAATAACTTCAGAGAATTATGATAACGGGGTTTCATATCTAAGTCTTGTTGGCCACAAAGTGTTAAAATGTATGAATGTCTTTTCTAAAAGGGTCTGACTCACTTGGTTGGCTGAATAGCTACGCCTGTATAATTAAAATAGTGTGGTGGGGTTTTTTAATTGCTGTGAGCTCTGTGTATTTCTCCTGACTTACAGAAAAGTTGCACTGGTGTTTGCTAATTCTCATCTGAATTAGGCAGGATATAGCTTTATCACAGAACATGAGTTGGAAGGGACCTCAAAAGCTCATCCAGTCCAACCCCTGCCAGAGCAGGGTCACCCAGAGCAGTCACACAGGAAGGCGTCCAGGCGCGTTTTGAATGTCTGCAGAGAAGGAGACCCCACAGCCTCTCTGGGCAGCCTGGGCCATGCTCTGTCACCCTTACAGTAAAAAGTTTTTCTTCATGTTGAGGTTGAACCTCCTGTGCTCCAGCTTGCACCCATTGCTCCTTGTCCTGTCATTGGACATCACAGAGCAGAGCACACACACACGACAGGACCAAACTTGTCTTCCTAAAGTACCTATATCTTATCTACATTTATCACACCACACAGCTTTTTCATACATGGGTATGTACGCAGTGGATAGAAGTATCCTTAAGCCTGATCCGGGCCTGTAATGGCATGTGAAACGGTAATTTTTGAAATTCTAAATCAATGCTTTAGGACAGCTTTGGACAAACACAATTTGTTCCACAGAAGTGTCCTGTGTAAGGTCAGTTCTAAACTCTGGGAAGAGTATGGCACATTATATCTTTTTTTAAACTGTTGGAAAGAAATGATACAGCGCCCCACAGCTGAAACGTTTCCAGAGCAGTCATCCTGGCTGTCCTAACTGCAGGTATGTGGACTTCACCATGGTTAGCCTGAAGTTCTTGGGATTACCTTTTTCATTCTGCTCACAGTTTGGTTTTGATGAACAAGTGTCTTCTCACAGAAATAAGTATTTTCTTGGAAACCTCCCAGGTCACTCTTGACAGGGCAGAAAGGTTAAAGGAGCTGTCACTGCCTCTGCAAGTGCCTGTCTCCTCTGGGAAATTTGTCATGGTCTTTCTGGCAGAAAGATACTTTTTTTTTCTGATTTAATTTATCCACTCCCTTTGAAGACAAGTCTGAAAAGGGTAGGGGTTATATAAGGCGTGAGATTTGAATACAATGCCATCGGATGGGAAATGAGGGAAAGTTTGGCAGGGGTAGCTTGTTCAAGGGGGTGGAGGGAACAGTGACAGCCGGCTTTCCCGGGGCAGGGAGGCTGCTGCTGGCTGGTTACCGGGTACCTCACCGCTGCCCGTGTCTTCTCCCAGGCCGGTGGTTCTGGTGGAGCCTTCCCGCAGGGTGAGGCTGTTTCCAGTAAGGCGAAAGAATGAGGGAGCCGGAGGAGCAGCAGGGGAGACGGCGGGAGGGAGAGTGTGAACTCCTCTACGCCTTTGCAGCCTCACCTGCAGATTTTTTAGAGGGATACGGTGTGGGAGGGTAACGTCCCGCACTGCTGCAACAAGCGGCTCCCTAAGACTTCAGGGTCGTAGCGTGGTGCCACAACTTCACCCCAATCCGGAAAAAGTAATTGAACCTCGCCGCGCTGACTGCGGAGCAGCAGCCCTGGCTTGAGGGACGAGCAGCGGCCGGGGG